TTGTTACCGTTACCATTTCCATTTCCACTTCCGGTATTGTAATTACCATTGCCATTACCATTGTTATTACCATTACCATTGTAACTGCTGTCATTGATTATGGTATAACCATTGTCAACATTGTTTTTGTAATTATTGTTTTGGTTGTTATTGTTGTTACCATTGTAATTACCGTTGTTGTTTCCGTTGTTGTTTCCATTATTGTCGCCAGTGTTTCCATTGCCGTTGTTGTTTCCGTTGTTGTTTCCATTACCGTTGTAACTGCTGTCATTGATTACAATAATAGAATTGTCGGTATTTCCACTTGAAGTATTGTTGTCGTTATCGCTGTTGTTGTTGTTAAAGTTACCATTGCCATTACCATTATTGTTTCCATTATTGTCACCGGTATTGTAGTTTCCATTTCCGTTACCATTATTGTTACCATTTTCACCACCTTCATTGTTGTTTCCGTTTTCATTTCCATTCCAATTGCCATTATTGTGGCCAACATTGCCATTGCCGTTGTTGTTTCCGTTGTTGTTTCCATTTTCGCCACTTTCATTGTTATTTCCATTGGCGTTGCCATTGCTGTTGCCATTATTGTCACCAACATTGCCATTGCCATTGTTGTTTCCGTTGTTGTTACCATTTTCACCACCTTCATTGTTGTTTCCGTTTTCATTTCCATTCCAATTGCCATTATTGTCGCCAATGTTGTTGTTTCCATTTTCATTTCCATTGTTATTTCCATTTATGCCACCTTCATTATCATTTCCGTTGGCATTACCATTATTATTTCCATTTTCGTCGCCTACGTTGTTGTTTCCATTAGCATTTCCATTATTATTTCCGTTTTCACCTCCTTGGTTGTCATTTCCGTTGAGGTTCCCATTGGAGTTCCCACTTTCGCTACCTTCGTTATTGTTTCCATTTTCGTTTCCGTTGGCATTACCATTAACGCCATCAGCGCCATTGTCATTACCATTGGCATTACCATTTGAGTTACCATTTTCACCGCCGGCACCATTTTCATTTCCATTTTCATTTCCATTGGAATTG